GATACTGTGTATAGGAGAAGACAGTATGTATCTTTTATTTCATGAAAAGCCATATTGAAATAATGATTCTATGTGCTAAAATCTAATATCTGGGACTATTTCAAAGGAGTCCAATTCTTCTTTATTTCAAGAGCTTTTTGTTTGATAAACAAAATACTTTTTGGTCTTGATGCACTTAAGAGGCAAGTGGAGTAAATTAATCAGTTATATAATAAACTACAGTTCAGAAATCAGAACAATTTCCTGAATTTTTCTTTTAAAATGTATCTTCAGAGTAATTTAAATAATGACATTTTTCTATTTAATAATATCCTGCCTTTCATTCACACCAGCTCCCCAGTGGCCTGCAGCTCTGACATTTCTCCATTGGTTAAAATCTTTATTGGATTTCATATCAGTTGAACAATCTTAATTGATGATAACTTTTGTTCATTGTTGATCTTAGACAAAATCAAATTAAAAAAAGAAACAATTCTTAGTCTCAATTAGAAGGAGAATAGAAGCTCCCCTTAGTAGAAATAATTGCTTCCAATCCCTGTAAATACACAAGAATGCCTTTTTCAAAGTGATACAATGATATAAAATAATAGTTCTGTCCTCATGCAATCATTGTATTAAAATTTTGAAATGAAATGTTTAAAACTAGTAACAAAAAAGTAAAATTTTAATTCCATCTATTCATAACAAGGATAAAATATTATGTTTAAATAATTGTTCTAGCAATCATAGCATGACTTTATTTCATAGATTTCATGTATCTTTATATATATTTATATCTATATTTATATTTGAATACTTACTTTTCCAGATTTTTATTAATACTTTTCCAGTTATGTTTGTGAAATAGCTGGTGAGGATGGTGCAGAAAAATATTTCTGCCAATCTTGCTCTTTATCTTAGCAATGGATAGTACATAATACTAGATATGGCTACTTTTCCTGAAGGCAAGGAACTGTGATGTGCTACAAGGATCTGGTAAATGCAGTTCTTTTAAATATTTTTCTGAGAGACCAATGTGAACTCTGCTGATATACCACCAAAAGCAATGGATACAAAGTTTTCTCCATGATGCGACAATGTCTAAAGATGATCAACACTTGAATGAACATCATGTAGCATAAACTTTACTAGGGAACGTACAGTAATACTGAAAGGAAAAGGTATGGAAGATAAAGAGAAATGCATGGAAATGCTCCCTGGTAAATGCAATATGTCCAGGCACTTGTACAACTGCTGATAGATGGCACGGGAACTTAATGAATCTTTTTATTCTGGTAAATCTAGTCAAAGGAAAGCTATTCTTTATTATTTTGTTGTGGGTTTTTTTTTTTTTTTTTTTTGTTTGTGTGTGTGTGTTTTTTTTACCCTTGAGTTCTGTCTCTGGATTACCAATAAAGCTATGCTTCTCAAAGAGAAGTCAGTTCACAAAATCCTCAACAATGGATGTGTCCAATCTGTGGCTGAAATAATCCATCTATCAAAAGATTTTTGCAGCACAGGAATAATGTTGCGCAGTATTGTAACCACACCCAGAAGAGCAGAGATACGGACACCCATCATCTCTTTACTTCATTTGCTGTAAAAGACCTCCTCCCCAGAGTTCTTTTGCCTTTTTTTTTTTTTAATCTGAGCAGAAAATAAAATAAAAAAAAAAACCAAAAAAACACAAAAACCAACAAAACATTTTTGAACAGTTTAGGCAAAAGCTTAAACCAAGGCTTTGAGCAGAGTTCATCCATTTTAGTCATCAACTTTCTCATGGATATATTTACCTTCTCTTGCTCTATGAATATTTAATTGTGGAAAAAAAAAACAAAAACAGATTAAACAAGAGTCACCAAAACCAAAATCAATTTAGACCACTCAGCAGCATGGCAGGCATATTAGATTTCAGCAAAGGAGCATTCAAGAACCTGCTCCACATTAGGAAGAGACTAAATCTGAAAACTGGTCTCACCATATAGACATCTCTCTTGAAATGTCTCCTGCTTGGCCATTTTCGTGTGAGTCTGAAACAATTGGCCACATTGCTAGTCCAGACTGGCAGATGGGGATCCTGATTTGGGAGTCAGTGGAGCTTATGTGTCTGACAGCAGGTTTGTGATATACACAGCAATGTACACTTACAGGGGTTAAACTTCAGGAGTACAGCAGGTCTTTCTGGCAAAAAAACGTTCCAATAAGTATTAGTTGCCTTTTTAGACACCCTCAGGACCAGGTAACAACTAAGCACTGTTTCTGTGAGTCTAATTTTTCAGTAAAAAACAAGATGTTTCCAAATTGCTGTAATGGATCAGACTTTTTCATGGCTATTTTAGTCAATACAGCGCTGTGATGTTATGACATCAAGCAGAAAATCACAAGGTGGATTAACTAAGGACACTTAACATCAACAGAAAAATGGCCTGGATTCAGATTCTTCCTTCTGTTTTAAATTAAATCCCAGTTTTTATAATTCAGCAGATTTGTTAAATACCCTTTAAATGTATTACAGTCTTTCCTTGTCTTCCTTACTTGGTGGTGTCACTATTTCTTAGCCCAATTATCCCTATTTGCATACTCCACGTATTTTTTCTATTATGAAAGAAACTTGACGATGAAGTATCTTTCATTCATACCCTTGTTTATTTAGAATGACTGCTGGAACTTACTGTCATCAAATGCAGAAAGATTCAGTCAGCAGAAGATTCTTTTTCCAGGATTTTCTTAGTGCCATATTGTCTGTGTTTGTGCAGCATGTACCTGGTAACTATTATAATTTCTTCAAGTGGGTTTTTGGTTGCAATTTTTGTTGTTGATGTTACAACTATTCAGAAAACAGTTGTTCAGTCCATCTATTTGCACATGCACTGTCTGCATGTGCTTTTGATAAGGGAGGATACTTAGTTTTAGTTTCAGGAGATGTAATGGTACTTAACGGTTTATTATAATAATTTTAAATTGTGCGTGGCAGTTATATATCCAGTGGCAGAGGTTTAAACCAATCCAGAAAAACAAAAAAAAGGAGAAAAGGACCTCTCCCATTCTCATTCAGAAAGGAGATCCAGCAATGTTTATATTAATACACAAATATTAGTGTATGTGTCAAAATATTATTTGGCTCAAAATCATAACACTTTAATGTGGCCACAAACCATACAGCCATAAATCAAACTCAAAGGGCACAGTCATGGAGTGCAAAGGGTTTATTCATTTGCTGAAAAATTAATTGATAACCAACAAAAAGAAAAAAAAACAATTTCAATGAGACCTATCTTTTTTTGCATTAGTATTTATTTTAATGAATCTGAAACTGGTATCATAAAACAATGTCTTCAATTTGACAAAGACCAAATATGATCAAGTGCTTTCAGGAAAAGTATGATGAATACTCAAAATCAAAGACAGTAAGTGATATTTGATGTATATTCTCTTTGAAGCCCAGCAACTATCCAGTGCTGATGGAAAGGGGCAACTAGTGCAATTTCAAGTTGATGTGAACCCCATAAATATCCTCACTCTTTTAAAATTCAGGTTTTTATGTGCAAGAATTACTGGGTTTAATAATACTGCTATTCTGCTGCTTTATAATGAAATAACACTTGTGCCCATACACAGAATTAGAGACACTTTACTAGGTGATAATGCTAAGCTATGCCTTGATGGTACAGAATCTGTGTCTTGGCCTCCAGAGGCCTAAAGAGGATGGAAACAAGATTTAGCAATACAAAGGTGATGGGAGTGTTAAAAAAAAAACCCAGATGTGATATAAAGACTCCATCAAATGATTCTAATATTTTGTTTTCTTCCTGTTTCTTTAAACTCTTCTGCATGGCCAGTCTGTAAGTATGGCTCACTATTCTGTACCCAAAGTGACAAGTGATAAGTTATCCTGGTGCATAAACACTCAAAAAACTTGCACCTAGTCTGTGTATGCAGCTGCAGAATGGTGTTTTACCTCACACAGTTTTGTTATAAAAAAAGTTTAGTGCCCAATACTTGAGCACAGGAATCCAATTCCAGTATTGCAAAAAAAAAAGTTATAAAGATCAACCAATATGGAGCATAAGCACTTCAGAATACCATAGTGCGTAAGTAAAAGAGTACCTACAGCATCCAGCACTTAGTTCCAAAGTCTTTAGGGAAATCTTAACTAAAACTGAGAGAGTACAAGAAGCAGCAGTGTGTTACTTGCATGGCATTGTTTCTCTTGGGCTCATGAAATTTGGAAGCATTTATAGAGCTGGTCTAAAGCCAGCTGGATTCTGATGAATTTTAACCTCAGCCTCTCAGTTTCTGAAAATGAAAATATAGAAAACTTTTGGAAGCTGATACAGCAGTCCTGTGAAGACTGGAAGTTGGTCAATCCAGCCGTTAGCTCAATATAACAAATTATACTAAGTAAATGAAATGTCAACCCCATCAGCTCGTTAAAAAATTTCAGTCTAGAAGACTTCAATACAACAAAAAGTATGTATCTGATGCCTATTCTTGCTTGGCACAGAATGAGCGGTTACAAACTTTTAAATTCTACTTTGTGAAGAGAAGTCTCATGTGTCTGTATTGAATCCACAATAAAATTCCTGTCCCGATACCTCCAGGCATATTCACATGCTCAGAACTTTTGCGGAGCTCACAGCTTTTACTCTTTCCTGTGTCCCAGCAGGAGCAGGCCGGCTTAGCATCCTCTTGCCTGCTGCCAAGGATGGAGGCGGCTGGGGACGGGGCCCCCCTCGACTTTTCTTGGCGATAGCTTTTGCAGGACCGCGGCCAGCTTCTCTCGAGGCTGCGGTGCCAGCCAGCCCTCGCTGCTCGCCGGATTCCAGGTATCGCCCCGGGAGCTGTTGCGGGTTCCGCCGCCCCCGGGTGCCGACGGCGGTGCCGGGCGAGGGTGCGGGGGCCGGGGCCAGGGGCGGGCGCGGTGCCCGGAGCGCGGCCGTCCCGCCCCGCGGGATGCCGGGGAGGGGTGTTCGCCGCACGTCACCGCCGCCTGCGATAAATGCCCGGCGGGGCGGGAGCCGTGGGGAGAAGCGTGGAGCGACTCGGGGCGGTGGTGGCGACCCGGAGGCGGGCGGGGGAGGCTGCGGCGGCGGCTCCGCTGCTGGACACGTCCGCGCCGCCGCGCCGCTCGCAGCGCTGCTCCGCCGCAGCCAGCGGGGCGAGGCTGTGCCCGCGGCCCCGGCCCGGCGCGGGCGTGGCGAGAGGAGGCGGGCGGCGGAGCGAAGCTGGCTGCGGGGAGAGCGGGCAGCCGCCGCCGGAGGGGTAAGGGCACTGGCGGGGCCAGCATCCTCCCCGCAGCATCCTCCCCGCGGCCGCGGGAGGACGGGCGGCGGCGGCAGGCCCGGCGGTCGGGTCGGCTGCGGCACGGAGAGCGGGGCCGGGCGCGGGCGGCGGCGCTGGGGAGCGCTCGGCTCGCTCTGCCCGTGCTCCTCTTTGTGTTTCCCTCCCACGGGCTGGGTCTGGGGTGGCGGGATTCCCGCGTGCTCAGCCAGGGTGAGGAGCGACCTCGGCTTTCCTGCCTGAAGCACTCAGTCGTGTAGTAGCCGTTGTTGGAATATGGCATTCTTGGGAGCGGTGCTACTCTTTCTGAGAGTTTTCAGTGCTTTCCTTTGCTTAGTGACTAGAAAAACGCCGTCTCCCCTGTTTTCGTGTCCGTTGAGCACATTTAGCTTCATTAGAGTTTTGGAAATCGTGGAAATCGTAAAACAAAAGCTGTAATCAAGGTCATATTTTGAAATGCACTAAGAGGGCATACTTTGTATCAAGTTAATTGTGGATTTCAGTTTACACTTTGGCAATGACTGGAAGCCTTTAACCTTTTGTTAAGTTTCAGTACTGGAAGACCTTATCTACAGTCTAATCTTCATTGATGTCTGGCTCCTTTTAAGTAGATATGAAAAGCATGCTTTTTGCATGCAGGCGATGAAATGTGCTTGTCAATGTAATATATAAAACCACTTGAACAAACTGAAGTTCATAAGGCTGAAGATAAGCTATCTTCCCAAATCAACAGTGTGCACTTTTAGAGTAAAAAATGCAGCATCCTGCTTTCTCCCCCTAGAACAACAGTTACAAAATCTATATGAACTAGATATTTTGTTGCTTAATAAGTCCATACAGGTCAGTCCTTCAGTTTACAAATTACATTACTCTCTCTTATGCATTTACAGACAGCAAACCTGGAAGAAAGACTTTGTCTTGGAGTTAACTCCTGAGCATTTTGAGATCATTCATCATGAAGTATGTAGTACAGGAATGGCTCAGAGTAACTACCTTGCTATTCATAGCTCAAGCAGTTTCTGCAATGGTTCTTCCCAATGCCACGCTCTTAGAGGAACTTTTGGAAAAGTACATGGATGAAGATGGTGAGTGGTGGATCGCCAAGCAGAGAGGGAAAAGGGCTATCACAGACAGTGATATGCAAAGTATCTTGGATCTTCATAATAAATTACGGGGTCAGGTGTATCCACCAGCTTCCAATATGGAATATATGGTAAGGAAAAACGGATAGTGACATGCAGAAAAAAATGTTCTTAGAATAGTTGCTATCACTTTATAAAACAGCATACTTTCAGTCTTAGCTTGCTTGTTTTCTTATTTAATGAACTTGTGACTTGTTTGTCTTTTTTTTTTTTTTTTTTTTGTACAGGTATGAACTGTGAGATAAAAATGCCTGTTTGTGGAACAAGTGTCATGCTCTACTTACATTAATGTGTTTAATCTTGTATAGCTCTCCTAAATTTAAATGACTTCTTCAGTTTTAGGGGCCAGTTTCCAAAATTGCAGTACTCAATAAAGGTGATTGTAATTGTGGCCTAAAAAGTTACCATCTGAGAAGAGTACTGAACTATGAAATTTCAAGATAGCATGTATGTTTTATTTCCCATGCTTCCAGGATGGAATTTCTGAGCAAAATGAAGGTCTTACAACAAGAAAGTCTACTATTTAAGTTGGCACATGTTACTGGAGTGCTGTATATTTCTGTGTTCAAATTAATAATGTAATTTCTGTTTATTATTTTTCATTAAGAAGCCTCTATATTTAGATTATTATTAGTGGCATTAAGTCACATGTTTCTGAACTTTGTTTTTATGCCATAGTTCAAGGCTAATTCTGTCTCTTGCTAAGTAGATGAAATCAGGACATTAGAGCTTTTAAGAAGTCTAGAGGTTTGACAGAAATGGGCAACTTTTCTTTTTCCTGTGCTTTTTTCCTGTGTCCGCATGGTATATTGTTGGCTTATCTTTCTCTGGTTCATGCAACAGAGAAAGAGTTTTGGTGTAGGTTGAGTCGTTTATATCAAACATTGTACAGGTTTCTTGACACTTTCCATGACAGAGGTTTATATTAACACATTTCCAGATCAAAATATCTTTCCTAGACTGGAGTCATGTCTTTCAGGTTGGACATCTGTTTGAACTGAGCATATAGGTTCCTGGAGAAACCATGCTTGCTTAAACCATCAGTACAACTATAGGATGGTTTGGGTTGGGGGGGACTTTTAAAGGTTCTCTAGTCCATCCCTCATTAAAGGCAGTTTAACTTAAGTTTACCTATGTGAGTGTTATTGTATTAGACTAAGAGCCATCAGAGAATTAGTTCATGGAATCACAGGATGTATTGCCACATATCATCTCCAAAAAATGATAATACCTGAAACGCCTTTAACCTGGTCTGTCACAATTGTCTGCAATATTTGTAAATTTTGTTTCCTGTTGTGACTTCTTCACACTTTGCTACAACAGAGGTTAACATTTTGTTCCCAGTCACTCAGGTTGACTTTCTTCTGGAAAGCTCAAGAACAAGCTATTAAGCTTTTTTGTAAAAGAATAATTGGGACAACTGTTGCTTTCCCTTGTTAAAATACTGCAAACCTTTTTCTTGGGCTTCTGTGAAAATGTAGGTGATTTATAGTTATGCGCTTTTTTCCATTCCTAATGCCATACTACATTTGCCTGTCTTATATATCTTGGAAAGGAGAATTTGGATATGCTCACACAAGTAAGGTTTTTTGACAGCTTTATTCAAAGATTCCTCCAGCACTGCACACACTTGGGCTTCGACTCTGTGTTAGGTCTACATCTGGAACAAGATTTTTTTGGTTTTGTTGTTTTTTCTGTGCTTTCCAATGATGCCTGAGCCAGAGAGTACAAGTAGCATGGAAAAGCAATTACCCAATTTTAACATCAAGGATGTTACTCAGAACAAGGCAGCAGCTTTCAAGAGGGTGGGATTCAATGTTGGTGTAATATCCAAAAGAATGAGGGATTAGGATAGGCAAATGTTTGAGATCTGTGAAGGCAAAGAGTCTGTGTAAAGTGTGTGGGCAGAGGGATAGATACTGTGGAGGGATAGGGACCCATGAGAAGGGTGTGGAGAGAGCCTGAGTGATCAAGAAGGTGTTGAGAAATCATTGTGGTGGAGAGAAAGAGCATTTGAGAAATAGATATGGTTAAGCTAAGACTTGTGACTGTGATTTGGATCAGAAGTTTATGGAAGGAGGTGAAGAGCACAGACCTTTGCTAAGAGGCTATTTGGAAAATCTAAACCTGTTAGTAAGTGGGGAGGAAGAGTGTATTTGGAAGAAGCAGGTGAGAGTCGGTGTTGGGAATGGAGAGAGGAGGATTTAGAAGACAGTGGGAACCACATGCTGCTTGAACAGAACAAGGAAAGGACAGAACTGCTGATTGTTTGCACCTTTATTTTTATGGTACTCAGAGATTTTCCTTTCAGTGCTTAACAAAGATAATTATTAGTGCTCCAGAAAAGGGAAACCATCCATCTAAATGCTTGCCTGATGTTTCGTGAGATAGATGAGTGCAGCTGAAATATTTTTGTCTACTTTTGATTTATTAATATAGACAAACAGGATTTATTAATATAGGCAAACAGATCTCCTGCTATTGGCACAGTCATGTCTCTGTAAACTGCCCTTTGTATCAGTATATCCTCATGAATAGAGCTAGTTCTGCTTGGGGGAGTGAAGTTTTATGTCTCACTGAACCTGAATGGAGATGAGCAAGGTCCAGGTGCCTCCCTGATAAACCTGTATCTCTATAAATCTGTGATATAGTTGACAGGTTTATGATGTCTAGGAGTGCTTGGTGCTGGGAGAAGTATGTGGGGGCTGCATGCTTTCACTGCACTGTTGGGTTACCTAAGATGTTCCAGACTAAAAAGCAGCTCTGGCTGAAGTGCCTCTGTGCTGCTCCTGCCAACGGAACACTCCTGAGTTGATGATGAGAACTGATTCAAGTACTTAAAGAATCAGATTTTATTTTAAAAAAATGTAATTTTTTTTTTTTTCATTCTGAGTCATGACACTACCTCCCTGTGTGGCAGAATCAGATGAGTACCAGTGCTGATAAAAGAACATTGGAATACATACTAAGGAATGGGTGGGATGGAGAACCACATGGGGTAGGAGTATTGGTTTTACTATTCACTTAGAGTCCAGGCTAACCTTTGAGAGAAGGTCTTCAGCGTAAGATCTGGTTCTATTAAAAACAAAAATCCCAGAAAAACAAACAAACAAACAAAACCAAACCAAACAAACAAACAAAACCAAACCCCAAATCCCCAAGGAAAATGAAAAAGTTGCATTACTGAGCTGTACATCTTTCCATGTGCTTTGAAAAAGCAAACATTACTGGGCTCTCATAGTTCAGAGACCTAAAGTTACAGTGCAGTAAGATTCACAGTAGCAAGGTCTAATGAACAAAGTGTTCTCATGGCTCTCTGGCTGAACTTACCGGATGAAAAGTTCATCTTCCCAAGTACTGTGTCTCTGGTGGTGAGCAGTAATGGATTCCTAAGATAAGAGGATAAGAATAAAGCATGTGAAAAGAGAAACTTCTGCAATGAAGCACCCCAGCTTCCAGCAAACAGCAGCTTAGGGACTTCCTCAATCTGCTGTTGTACTTTATGCATCAGATGGAATATTCTCACATGGAATTTTCTTTATGAATCTGAAAGCTTCTGAGTCCACTTATATTGTTTGAATCTACGGCATCAATTTGCAGAGCTCTATAAATTTAATTATGCAGTGGGTGAAAAAGTATATTTGTTTTCCTTTAAACTTGGCCTTCTCTTTGATTCCTTGTTTTTCTTTATTGTGAGAAATAATTAGTTCCTCAGTGATCACAAGGCTTTCAGCTGAAGAATTCTAATTCCTTCACTTGAAAACTGTTTTGTCTGAAAAGCTGTTCCATTTTGCTATGGTTCTTCTATTTTCCTTTTAATGTAAAGGGGACAAACCAAACTGTGGATAGTTATGGCATACTGCAAATTGTTATAGTTGTATTTATATTCTTCTCTCCCCAATAATTTCTAACATTCTTTTACTTTTTGACCTAGTGTCCTACAGCTGACATGTTTCATAGGGTTATTCACAATGACTTCAACATCTTTCTAATGTGCTATGAGGTCATTTACTACACTACTGTGTATATATAGTTGGCTTTTATGTCCAGCAATGTTCTTATTACTTTGTATTCATTCACTTTGAATGCTATAAATAATTTTGTCTTCCAATCACGTAGCATTAAGGAGTGTCCTGTCTTTATCTTTTATTTTTCCCTATCTTGTTTTTACCTATTTTAAATACTGAATACTCTATTACATTCTCTTTTCTTGGGCTATTGTGGAGAAGGTGTGCTCCAGAGACCATGGACACATCTTGCAAGGAATCTGAAAAATGATTTTGTATTCTTAACTCCCTTTGCTGTCATTTATCACTTCTTCCTTTACCTTATGATAGCTTAATTTTATTTGTTTGTTAATTTTTAAGTAACTTAGGAACACTGTGGAAAACTTAACTGTGCTTAACCCTTTTACACATGTTGACACCTTCAAGGTGCAATATATGTGCGAGTAATTGTCTATGTATTTCATATTTTTTTAACTTACCCTATAAAATCAGGCCAGTGGAAGTTGTATTTTAGTCTGTGGTTTCTCAGGATCTTCCAGAAGCTTTTAAAAACATTATCGACCATGTGCTGGTTTTTGTTAATGTGGTAACAAGAGAGATCGTGTACTGCACAGCAATTAGAAGTTTAATGAGCAAGTTCTTCCAGGTTTTTGAAGGATATTGTTTGGTCCCGGCAATTTGTTGCTGTCAGTATTTTCAGTTTCGGATTTTGTTTCTTAAGGCTGATTTGGATTCTCCACCTCACCTTCTTTTTCTTTTTCTGTATGGAAGAATTGTGGTGTGAGAATGTACATAAGCTCCTCTGTAGGGAACAGTATTGCAAAAATTCATTAAACTCCTCTGCAGTGGCCTTATATGACCTTATGACTACATGTTAGATCATTCTTTCCTAGACCTCCTCCTTCAAAGCTGAAAGAATTTTTGGGTTGTTGACATTATGAATTAAATAGAAAAAGAAAATTCTTTTTTTGAGGTTATGATGAACAGTGTGTTATAAAGATGCATGGCAAATGCATGTTGCATATTTTTTTATCTGGATTGCTTCTTTTTAAAGAAGGATGGAA